CCTGTATCCCAGTTCTGTGTGAATAAATAAATAAATCTTTAAAAAAAAAAATAGTGATCCTTATTCTCAGTAAGGAGAAGACCAAATTTTAATGTGGTTTTACAGTTTTTAAACAGATGAATTCAAAAAACAGATGTGATACCTGCTCTTTAGTCTTATTTGCATAATTACTTTGTTTTTGTTCCTCATTTTAGTTGATATGGTCCAGCATTAGTATTCGGTAAGCTTTTTGTCTTTAGTTAGCTCATGATGAGAGCTAATTAAATGATAATTATATACAGATGTGTCCTTAATTTTACATATCACTAAGAATACATATTTTTAAACTATATAGTGGTGAAAAAGTTAAAGGTTTGATGTTGCAGTAAGTCAGTTTAAGCCAAATATTTAAAATTATCAAAAAAGGAATCAGCATTTAAATGAGTTTAGAAGCACTGAACTTCAGGAATTAGACAATGAACAGGCTACTTATCTGAAAAGGAAGTGAGAACATGTGTATGGAGGAAAGACACTCATTGTCTTCAGAGAAAAACAGTTGGACCAACCTCAGTGAAGAGTAATTCAGCAGTGTAAACCAAAACTGCAAATGAACATAACTTTTTGGTCTAGGTATTACATGTGACTATATACTCACACCTCTATGTAATTAAATTTATAAAAATTAGTTGCTTTATTTCTAACAACAAATATATGAGAATTAAGTGCCCACCAATGGTAAACAAATCATGATAAACATCAGTCATTTAAAAAAAAGGGGTAATGATGCTTTTTATAAATTAATATGAAAGATATCCAAGATAGGCTATTAAGTGAAAAACAAGAAACTGATGCAGCATATATTGCAATACCAATTGCATAAAAGTGAGAGGCATAATATATATACACACACATATTTCTTTTATGGTTAAACATATTAACATTTTGAGGTATAATATATATAGGTATATATGTGCACCTATATGTATATATATGCATGCTATTAATTTTTACACCATTAATTTAAAACTATGCATTCTTCATTATATGTATTTACATAAAAGCACTTCTTTCATGATCTGAAAACAATCATGTAGTTGGCACATAGAACCTAGGTCCTTAGATCAAGAAAAAGAACTGTTCTTACCATGCCCAAAAGTCAAATGTTGTAGCTAATAGCTTCCTCCTACAAAAGTTGTCACTATTCTGATTTATTAAAATATAGATTAATTTCACTCAACTTTATACTAATGAAAATAAAACCACACAATAGTTTCCTGTTTTTTTTTAAATCCAACATTCAATTGGTGTGATTTGTTAATATTGTACAATGTTCAACCTCACTGTTGTTTAGTAACAGTGTCCACTCTGTAAATAAGCCACAATATACTTAACCTATTCTACTACTGAAGATTATTTGGGTAATGGCCAATTTGAGACCATTATAAATAGTATTGCTATGAACATCTTATTATACATGTCCATCATGAACATCATATACATGTCCATATTTATGTAGTAGGGAAGTAATTGCTGAGTTATAAGATCTGATATCCTAAATTTTAACAGATACTGCCATACCATTACTCCAATTGACACTTCCACCAGCAATGTATGAAAGCTCTAATTGCCATAAATCCTCACACATTTAGCATATTGTCTTTTTTTTTTTTTTAAGATATATTTATGGATACAGAACTAAGGTATAAGCTAGAGGTTCAGGGGCAGTGAGAGGATTCACTAGAGACAGAGTGAGGAGCAGGCAGATCCACTAAGTACACTGCTGAGGAGAGCAGTCCGCAAGACATGTGGGGTCTGCCGTGTCATGTGGATCACCTTGGGAACCTGGATGGAACTGGCACTGAAGCAGTTGCAGCTAGCTTGTAGTGCTGCGTCCTAAACCGCTGCGCCACCTGAGAGGGCCCATAGTATATTGCCTTTTTAACTTTAGTTATTTTAATATTTTTGTAGTGGTATCACACAGTGGTTTTAATGTAGTTTCCTAAGAATGATGATGTTGAACTTTTCATCTGAATACAGATATCCCCTTTTTTTTTTGAGGTGTCCATGTCCAATTTTCTTTGGATTGCTAATCTACACTTTAAAATTTTGAAGCATGTGAATATATTACTTGCTTTTTACTTGTTTTTTTTTTTAAGTAAATTCAAAGTAATGGAATTAAATTTCATAGAATTATTTGTTGCATACTCTTCTTTGTAGAAACAATATACAAGGAATTCTAAAGCTCTGAAATCCTTAAGTTTTCTCTTTTTCTTTAAATCAGAAGAAAGTATAAAATTGCTGTCCCCACTATCACAAATTACACAATCGAATTTCCAACATTTGAGGAAACCACAGGGGATAGCACATCTGTAATGCAATGAGTGAGCTTTGCCTGAAAAACCCACTTTCATGATCATGATATCTCCCTTGGCAGGTGAGTGAAAAAGCTTTATACTTTTCAACACTACAGAACAATTTGGAGAAATGCTCTTTCCTCTCATGTAATTTTGTTTTTTTGTGGAATAACTGCCTCTTTACTTTTTAAGCACTTTTAGCTTCTTTTTCCAACTTTAACACATATTTCCTTTGATCTATTATTTATTAATTTAACTTCCCAGATATTTCAAGTTAGATGGCCTATAAATTCAATTTTTTGTAATATTTTGTACTTTATTTGCATCTATTACACTGTACTATAATTCTTACTGTCTAGGTTCATGTTTCTAATTAGGTTAGTTAAGTCCTTGAGGGCAGGAACCATGTTAATTTTTTTATTCCAGAACAATGCTTGGCCTATAGTGGATATTCAGTTAGTCACTGTTGAATAAATGAATCATGTCAACTAATGTAAACTAATTTAAATGTCAACTAATTTAACTAGTGTCTTTATTTTTAGAGTTGGCCATCATCCTGCTTCAGTGAAAATGGGTTGCTTTCTATTTCTGTCCTCTACCTTAAATCCCAGGATTTTTCTTCACTTTCTCCTGTTTATGTTTCTGTATATCTTTCTTTCTTGATTTACTCCCATGTTTTTTGGAGTATATCCTCTAGTAAATATTTCCATTCTTCTTTATGTGAAAATTATTTTTATTCTGCTCTTATTCTGTTTTTTACCTTGAATAGTTTGCCTGATTTTTAGGTTGGAAGTTACTCTCCTCCAGAACCTTGAAGATACTTTACTTCATTGTATTTTAGCATTAAAATGTTATGGTAATAAATCCAATGCCACGAATTTCCATCCTTTTTTTGTTTCTTCACTATGAAACTTTTTCAGTCTTTATTCTTAGTCTTCTGACCCTTTTAACGATGTACTTAATAGTTGTTGTTTTCACTCAGTGGTACTTGTTGGGCCTTTTTCACATGAAGATTTTGCTCCTTTGGTCTTGGCAAAATTTCTTTAATTATTTTTTGGATCATTTCCTCCCTACTTACTTTTAGTTCTCTTTTCCTGGAACTCTTAGTTTAAGTGACCTGATGTTTCCGGAGCACTCTGTTGCAAAAAACACATTATGCAATACAGCACAGAGTATAACACCACATCTTAAAAGCAAAGCATTTTATTTTAAATGATAAAAAATTTTACACACATTTCATTACAATTGCCCATTATTGTAAAACGTCATTGTTACTCTCATGTCAAGTGTTATAAACAGACAGGAAGCATTTAAGAAATCCTCCACCAAGGTTAAGTGTTCCTTTATGCTGTTGTCTTAGAATTTATTAAATGCCTCTGACAGACTTGGTCTTGTACACTTGTATATATTTGCAATTCACATTCTACAAAAATCCTCAAAAGGAAAAAGGCACTTGTTTAAAGTAAAAAGATGGGGGGAAGTTTGCAGTGCTTTTCTGGTTGGCACTAAACACTAAGAAACTTCTAATCTTTCCGGAAGCCAGAGAAGTGGATTTTCCAAAGGTTAGTTTTCCATTTGTGGATACAAAAAAGTAGGCAAGAGAGGAGACACCCAGAGGACCACAGTTTAACAGGAACTAGAGGCCTGAATTGCCAGGACTAGGAACTCTGACAGGGATTATCACTCACCCTTCACTTCTGAAGTGGCAGGAAGTGAGGGAAGACTGGAGTCCAGATAAATCCAAGAGTTCACCCTATTTGACTCGCTGGGTCCCAGGGGTGTGGAGCACGCCTAAATTACCTCACCCCCTCAAGCCTTCCCCGCGCAGGCGCGAAGCGACGACTCAGGAAAGCCCACCTCCACCCCCACCCTCAGCACTACGCGTGCGCGCGGAAACACACTCCCCTGTGGGGTTTGCGTGGCGCAAGCCTGGTGGCCCAGAGAACTCTCCAGGAAATGAAACCCCGCTGACCAGTCGGGTAACGGCCTACAGGCTGCTGAGCGGGACATCCCCCATCCTTCTCCCACTACAAAATAAAATCTTTTACAAACTTGAGGGTTGAGGTGGACGGCAGAGAAGGGGGCACCTCGTCCCCACCCTGTGCCCGAGCGCTGCCCGTGTTGCACAGACCATCTGGGCTGCTCCGTGCCGCCCGGGAGCCCCCGGACCTCGGCAGGAGTGGGGAGGAGTTGAGGGGGGAGGGAACCTACCCCGGAGTCGCGATCCCCACGCCCCTCTCCCCGCCTCGGAGCCGCTCTGACGTCGCCTGGGAAGTTTGGGATGGGAGGTTCTCCGCCGCCCGGACTTAGCGGCTGGGCGCGCCTGGGCCGGGAGAGGAAGCGCCTCCTCGACACGTCGCGCAGCCACAGCCTTAACCTCATTCTCCACAGGCGTCCGCGTCCGCTCCGGAAAAGCGGCGGCCGGCGTGGGCCGCGCGGGGATGGGCGACCGCGTGACCTAGTGTCTAGCAGCGGGGAGGAGCCGGCCGGCCATTCTCGCGGGGGCGGATCCAGCGGCTGCGGGAGCGCGGGAGCCGAGGGAGCGGCGGGCACATCCGGAACCGTCCGGCCGCCTGAGCGCCCTGAGCCGCGCCACCATGAACGGGGAGGCCATCTGCAGCGCCCTGCCCACCATCCCCTACCACAAGCTCGCCGACCTGCGCTACCTGAGCCGCGGCGCGTCAGGCACCGTGTCGTCGGCGCGCCACGCAGACTGGCGCGTTCAGGTGGCAGTGAAGCACCTGCATATCCACACGCCGCTGCTCGACAGGTAGGGCGCCCCCGCTCCGCGACGGAGCCCGGATTCCGCCTCATTCCTGCCTCTCCGGCCCTGGCGGACACCGGAGCCCACGAGTAGGGACCACTGGCTTCAGCCACACCTCTCCTCACCTCTCCGCAGCCCAAGGCCAGGGGCTGGCTTAGTGGCGAGAACCGGCTTCTCCAGAGATGCAGCTTTCGCCTTCCTCCCTTGTTCTATCCCTGCCCCCTCCTTCCCTCTTACACCCCTGAGCTTCCCGACACCGTCCAGAGAAAATTCAGTCTAGGCGTGAAGTAATCTCAGAATTATGTAGCTGTGTAAACAGTTGACAGATCAGTGAAACTGGGGAGAAACCGGCACTCAGCCCAACTCTAAACGTCCTATTGAAACTGACAGGTATTTACAGTGAGTGGGTTTTGCTTTTTTGAAGTGTTTGTGAAATCAGATTCTAGCCGCTCCGTGGGGTCGCTCGTGGTCACACGTGGCCGTGGAGCACTGGAAAAAAAACTGAGTGTAAAATACCGACTTCACACTTTTTACTAAAGTAGGAAGCTTCCTCACTGACAGTTTTACGTTGATGGTCCAAGATAATAGAATCTTTTTATCTGTTGGGTTAAATGTACGATCATATTACAACTCATCTCACTTGACTTTTTTTCTTACTTAAGGCCACTAGAAAAGTTTGAATTGTGCTAAGTGTTCATATTACATTTCAATGAACAATTCTGCTATAGAGTCCAGGATGTATTGGCTTGGGGGTTTTGTTATGGTGGTGGTTTATTACCTATAGCCATGAAAATTTAGGTGTCCCATTCAACCTAGCAGCTTAGCTCCTTTCACACAGGAAAGCCTGTCCCCAGAGGAAATGTGAATGACTTTTGCTAACTATAAACTAAATCAGAAGACTACTAAATAGCAAAGCCAAAACCAAAATTTTGAATGTCTCTCACATTCTAAAACACTTTTAGTGCAATGTGCAAGTTTTAAAGGAAGGCTAGTTTCTGTTTCCAGAAAAACATTTTAATCACATGTCATAGAACCTTGACTGTATGTATTAGTCAGTAGGTCGAGTCACTAGTCTTAACACCAGTGGCTGCAACATTCTCCCTTTCTCCCCTTATTTCTAACGTGAAAGTACCTTCATGTTAGATATCTGATTGACCAGAGACTGCTAGGGACCAATGCAGTTCAGTTCAGCAGCATCAGCCCTACCAGTGTTACTGAACTTTTATATTTCCTGTCTCACTATTGGATGAGCTGGATCTCACAGAAATTTGAGACATCTCTAAAGACTGTTCCACTTTTTGCATACCATAATGCATGTCTGGTGCTATACAGGGTGTGGTGTTGTTTACTCTGGGCCTTGAGTTCTGTGGAGCAAGTGCTAGGCAAGGGATTGTTGTACATGCAGTCAGTTTGAAGTATGGTGATTGGAGAGGGTGGATGTCTTTTAAAATAAACTATGCAAATACATGAAAATCTAACATTGAAAGACCAGCTAGGTATTCTAAAACAAATCGATCCTTACATTTTGAATGTTGCCTCTCAAGTTTTTAATTTATCTGAACTTTGTGCCATGTGGAGGTTTGAAGTGGTAAGTTTCCTTTCATACTTATTAACAGTTCTCATAATCTTTACTAAAGGGTAGGAAGTTAATTCTATCATCAAAGAAGCTGTAAGACCAATGAAACAGTCTGGCATAACTGTATTAGCTTCTTTTCTCCCATTTGTTAGCTAAGATGTTAATATTGCAGCATTTATACAGCTCATATATAAAGCTGGGCAATATAATTGACTCACAAGGTATCTTATTTCCTCACTTAACGAAGTGGGGCATGATATATACCTAAACTTCAAGGTCTCTGGTACAATAGTATTTGCATTGTTCTTTGGGATCACATGAAAGAAAAATAAGATTATGTTCTGTTACCTATGATTAGTAAAGCATTTTCCATAACCTGACTTGTGTTCAGTAAATGGCTCCTTCAACAATTTTTAGCTACTTATAAGTACATAAATCGGATTGGTTCTTCAAATACTCAGTAGGGGAAATGACTGGTATTTGATTGAAACGTTGAATTGGATAATTCTGGTGATATGTCAGCTGAAGCTGTATTTGACATTTTTATTTTTAGAAATATAAAAACCCTTGAGGGGGTGGAGTGGGGAATAGGATCAAAAATGAGGGAGGGAAATGCACTGGACTATGGTGAAGGCACATGGGTGATTTGGTGATGGGAAGCCCAAGGGGATTACAAATGAGATGGAAAATGCACAAAATGATGTAAAAATAAACTATTATATATATATGTGTGTGTATATATATAAAGAAATATAAAAACCCATTTTTAAACAGTTTTTGGCTTTGTCTGTTATTATACTCAGTCTTTCTAAAATCTAATTTCAATGACGTTCTTCTTTGATGAAGCAGTAAAAGTAAAGGAACAAAGACTTAAAGAGTCCCCATGATAGCAATTCAAACCTAACTCTAACCCTGTCACTTATTTGTGGCATGATGATTAGAAAATTACTAATTTAGGGCCCTCTCTGGTGGCACAAGAGGTTAAAGCACAGCACTATGAAGCTTGCTACTGCCACTTTAGCATGACTTCAACCCCTGGCCAGGGAGGCAACCCACATATTGCCGCAGACCTCTCCTGTCTCGCCCACTGTTCTTTTCAGTTGCTCTCAGCAATACTTCGTCCATCTGCCTGTTCTGCTCCCCACTTTGTCTCTGGTGAGTCCTGTCATCACCTCTAACCTCTGGACGATAGCCTAGTTCTGCATGTATAAATAAATAAATCTTTTTTAAAAAAGAAAATCACTAATGTATATACCCCTCACTGCCTTTGTATATAAAGTGGAACTAATTAAAGCAACTGTAGAGGCTAATTTAGGATAATAGTGCATACAAAATAGCCACAACAAAATAGGTGACAACAGAAAGAATTGCCTCAAACTCTTAGATGAGTGTATTAAATATTTCTGAGATTTTTCTAGCATTCCCTTTGTATAGTTCTTCTGAATATTTCCAGAATCTTCAGCTCCATCCTGAGTCTCCCTGTAAGGAGTCTCCCTGTGAGGATCCTCCCTGTGAGGATGTCTTGTTAACCTACAACTCTTGATGCGAATACAGAAATGTTTAGACATAGGGTTGTAGATTAAAACAGGTCTCAGACTGATAGATTTGATTACTTGATAGTTGAGGTATGAAGTGGTGAAGACAGGGAAAAGAAAGAAGCTTTTCACTTTATATCCTCTTGTAATTTTTAAATCTTAAAGTATATTGCCTATTCATAACATTAATTACCAAGATTTTTTGCTTTATTGTTTGCTTTTTGATTGTTGTGAAAAACAGATCTCTTAATCTGAGTTGGAATATGTTTCTTTTTTTTTCAAGTCATTCATCTACAGCTTGAGCAATTAATCATCTCATTACTTACCCAATAGGCTTTACTGGGAGACATTTCTATTTCTGTTACTGCTGCTACCAACACACATTCAACCAGGGTAAAAACTGTTGACATCTTGAATCCCCGTTCATTTTTTTTCTTTAATATCTCTAGTCAGTCAGTCACTACCCGCCTGGGTATTCTGTTCAGTTTGTGTTTTTATTTCTATTTGCATCCTTTATAATTCAGATTCTGCTTCATATCTTTTTTTTTATTTATTTATACAGAACTGGGGTACAGGCCAGAGATGTGGAGGGTGAGAGGATTCACCAGGAACAGAGTGGGGAGCAGAACAGGCAGATCGACGAAGTGTAGTGGGCGGGTCAGGAGAGGTCTGCCACGCCATGTGGATCTCCTCCTGGGCAGGCGGGGATCGAACTCTTGCGGAAGTGGCTTAAGCTTCTTAGCGCAGTGCTTTAACCCGCTGCGCCACCAGGGAGGGCCTCTGCTTCATATCTTAACTCGTATTATAACCATCTAACATCTGACTTTCAAACTGTATGTCTATCTATTGATCCGACATCTTGCTGCCAAGGTAATCATCTGCCCCTGTCATTCCTGCTTGAGAACCTATAGTCACAACTCAATTACTACTACCCTGGCTCATATTCTAAGCATAGCTTTTATCTTCTTTGTATATAAATCATACATATCCATTAAGTATACTATGTGAAACGTGCTGTTCCAGGTCCTAGGGATACATAAATGGGAAAAAAAAAAAAAAGACAAAGTCCCTCCCCTCTGAAGATCACATCCATCTTGGTTACCCTTTTTCTAAAGATTAAGAGTCTATCCATCTTTATAGTTAAAATCCCATCTCAAAGACTATAGGCTAGCCCGAAGTTTATTCAGAGCTCCCCACAGTTCTCTATTTACTTTCCTGTTTGTTTTTTGTTGGCCTTAATTACATTCTGGGCTTTTTTTTTTTTCTGATACTTTCATTTTTTAACTTGTTCTCTTTTTTTTTAACTTTATTGAATAATAATTGACAAATATAACTACATATTTTTAAAATGTGTGACATGACTTTGGTGGTAGATGTGATGTGTTAAGATACATCTTTAGAGGTGTGAGGCTATACCCTTAAATCATATTGTTGTAAACCTACATTACATCAATAAAAAATCATATAGTTTAAAAAACTTAAGTATACTACTTAATAGTTTAATATACATCCCAATGTGAAACAATCACAGGTATGAGAAAGTAGATGTACAAATGAAAAGCTGTTCAACATCATTAGTCATCTGAGAAACGCAAATCAATACCACAATAAGTATTTTTCTTAAAAGATCTGGCAGTTTAAGGGCCAGAAATATTTATATTCTATATAGTGTTGAGCACAGTTTACTCATAATGAAAGTTTAATATTTATTTGTATAATGTATGAGTAAGCAAGTAAATCCAGTTACCCCACAAATCTGTTACAAGCATTTACGTGTTCTCATTTTTTTCCTTCCTCAGTTTGTGTATAATTTTTAAGCATTATTCTTCTTGAAACTATTATCACCTAGTCATTTATACCAATCACCTAGTCATTTATACCTAGTCATTTATAACAATCTAGATGTTTTAATATTCAGAACAAATTGGAAAATTTCCACATGCTGTGCAACCATAAACTGAATGTAATATTGTAATCAAAGCTGTTCTTTTGAATACAACACAGACTTGTTTGCTTAGTTCATACACCAATTATTCTAATATCAGTAGATTTATAGGCTTACTCAGACATTGTCTTTTTTCTCTTTCCTAGAAAAGTATAATAACAACCTGGGTGTAGCACTTTTTTCTGTCATTGAGTTATGGAAGTTATTTTGATCTCTAAATTACCTGTGGAATATAGAGGGTAGGTCTTTTCCCTATTTTAAATATGATGAAACTGGCCCTCCCTGGCACAGTGGGTTAAAGCACAGCACTAAGAAGCTAAATCCACTTCCGCATGAGTTAGGTCCCCGCTTGCCCCGGAGGTGACCCACATGGCCTGGCAGATCTCTGTGGGACGCCCGCTGCTCCCTTCAGCAGTTGTACTTCGAAGATCTGCTTGTTCTGCTCCCCACTCTGTCTCTGGTGAATCCTCTCACTGCCCCTTGCACCTCTGGCCTGTGCCCCTGTTCTGTATGCAGAAATAAACAAATCTTTAAAAATAAATAAATATGAAATTAAAGGGTAGAGAAATTGCATAATTCATATGAGCTTAAAAGCCATCTCATGAAAGAGACAAGCTTACTAAATATGAACATAATAATTTTGTGTTTTTCATTACTTTGATACAATTTTGCATTTTCTGTTTTTAGTGAAAGAAATGATGTCTTAAGAGAAGCTGAAATTTTACACAAAGCTAGATTTAGTTATATTCTTCCAATTTTGGGAATTTGCAATGAGCCTGAATTTTTGGGAATAGTTACTGAATACATGCCAAATGGATCATTAAATGAACTCCTACACAGAGTAAGTATATTCACTGGCTATAATCTGTTATAAAAACTACGTATGTTTAGATTTTACATGCACTTAGATTATTTGGGTATACATAGATGAATCAAAGTCAGAATAATGAGAAACAAATGCAGCAAAGTTTCACTATTTATGACTTCTTTTGTGTTGTTAAAAATACCCAGTGGTATAAGGGACCTAGATTATTTTGCTGAAGTTACTGTTCCTGAATTGCCCATGTGTATATACACAGGAAAGAAAATGAGAAATCATGCACCAGTTAGTTGAGCCAGATTTTGCTCTATATAAAGACAATTTAGGATTCAGATTAAATGTTAATAAAATCAGTTAATAAAGTCCTGAGTTAATGTGCCAAATAAATCTTTGAGCACCAAAAACATTAGCTTCTCTGCTGGTAGACAATGTTGCATAAGCCTCGTACCTTTTTTTTTTTCCAATGTATTTGTTACTCATACCTTTATTTTTTTTTTCAATGTATTGTAAATTCTATCAGTAAACACATTTGCAGTTCTCATTCTCAAAATATATGTATTTATCTATTGTTTACTTGAGTTGACATTATTAATATTATACCCAATATAGGTTTTCTTGAGAAGTTTGTTTGTATCAGTCAGTCTGTTCTTTTAAGAGTTGGCTTATTTACACCTGGGTATAGAGTATGTAAAAGCCACTTATTGGACACTACTAAATTCTGATACATTACAGTGCTCTGTAAATAAAAAAGGGTGAATCCCACTTTCTGCCTTTCATGGAGTGACTTCCTCTTTTTTAAAAATATGTTACATTGTACAGTATTTGCCATGACCATCTGAAACAAGGATAAAGTGGTGTTACGGCATAAGATTTTGTGTGACCACTGCAGCTATCAAAATACAAATGTCAGTTAAGCACATTTTTTATTGTTGAAAAATGAATATAAATTGAAGTTCTTATGTTTTCTTCCTATACCCCAGGACTCCAAAAGATATTTTGGCACTCAAATGTGGAACCAACTAAAAATGTCATAAAACCAATCATAAAATGTAGAATAATACTTCTTTACTTTCCTTCCTCTTTATGTTCAGAAGCCTCCAAATAATACTGTACTTCAGAAATTTCTCATTATTCCTTTAAAGTACATAATTTTCAGTAAAAGTAATTACTTTACAGAATAAGATTCAGTTACTCAGGTGGAAAGATATCTGTATATACAAGAGGATGTCATGTTCAGCCTTAGTGTGTTTTGCATTTCTTTGGTTTTCTGAAATTCATTATTTTGACTAGCAATTATCTTAAAGCACTTCCCCCAACCTCACAAAAAGATTGTTGAAAAATGACCCAGCAGCAGAAAACATTCTCAGGATTAATTATGACCCTTCAGTAGAAGCATACTTTTCTATTTCATTTTTAAAAATGTACTTTGTGACATATTCCAAACTATATAAAGTATCTAACTTTTCTGAGTGTAGTCTTTCTAAGAAGCTGCATTAACTTCATATTCAGAAAATATTTAAGAAAATTCAGATAAACATTTACAAATATGAAGAAATATAAATGATTATGTTTTAAATGTGTCTATATGGTACATGGTACACACTTTAAAAATGAAGATGACTGTTTCCTTCACACAAAAAAAAGGCTCCTAAAGGCTAGTATTTCAAACTAGAATGCAAATAAATTATTTGGTTGAAAGTATGAGATTAATGCTTAATCTACATATATATATATGTTATGGTCATACTTTTAACTTATGAAGTGATTATCATAATAAATTAGGTTTTATATTATTAGGAAATTAAGGGTTTTGAGTGAATAGTTTGATACATAATAGAAATAGTTTATATCTATATGAGTAGTATGTACACATGCTATATCATATAAGGTTATATAAGAATAGGGAGATGGGTGTGAGTATATGTGTCTAAGTATCATTCAGATAAAAAATAATTGTAAGCTGTGTCAACAAAAGAAAGAACATGTAGTTACATTACCTATATAAACTAAAAGCAAATAGCAATATTATAAAGTTATCACTGGTTTCTCTAAAAAGGAAAAGTAGAGGTGAATATCAGATTGATATATGTATTAACAATGAGCATGTGTTCTATTTTATATAATATTTCCCCTCAAAGTTTAAATTTGTAATTGGAGGTTTCACCACTAATTTTGGGTTTCTTACCATTATATATCAAGAAAATTGAATATCCTGAAGTTCCTTGGCCGTTGAGATTCCGCATCCTGCATGAAATTGCACTGGGTGTAAATTACCTGCACAATATGAACCCTCCTCTACTTCATCATGACTTGAAGACTCAGAATATTTTATTGGATAATGAATTTCACGTTAAGGTAACAACTTATTTTAAATGGTTATCTGAGTGTTTAAAAACAGTTTATTTATTCCACTTGGAAAATTTACTGTATCTCCTTTTCTAGAGATCCTGATTTTTATAATCAGAGTTCCCTCTTCCTTCCTAGTCATTCCAAAACCACAGATATTGATACAGTTACAGTACAAAATAGTTTTTACTTCTCAATTGAAATTGATGAATATACTTTTTTTTATTTTCAAATTGGTATAGGTTCACAAGCAGTTACAAGATTAATACAAACAAGTCCCAGTTTCCAATGATTACATTTATATAATTATAGTGTAATTTCAAGACCAAAAATTTGACATTAATGAATGCCTGTATGTAATTCTGTTGTCACATTTAAATTTGTGTAACCACCAGAGAAATCAAGATACAGCACTAATCTATAGAAGGACTGTTCATGCTACTCCATTTAGTTGTAATCAGCTCCTTCCTCCACATTCTAGACCCCTGAAAAATAACTAACTTGTTTTCCATCTCTGTAGTTTTGTCATTACAGAGATGTCATTTCCACGTGATAGTCCTTCTGATATTTGAATATAGCTATACTCCCAACTCCTCACTGACACTTGTGTTTTGGCTTCCCTGCTAAATATTGTTAATTCCTTCAACCAGTTTTCTTATTAGATGGGTTTTAATTCCAGGTTCACAGATACATCTTTGTTTAAATCTCTCTTAAATTTTGATCTACAGAATAGAAAAAAATACTTTTTGATATGATTTGGTGAATGTAGAATGTAATAGAATTGTGATTTCCGTGGCCTTATTTCTTTCAAAATTCATTATTTTTGGGGAACAGATGCTATATCACAATATTCAAGTTAGGCTAGTGTCAACAAATAGCCCTGTTTTTTCATGTACTGTTGCCCAGCCTCATTTCCTTAATGTACTTTCTAGAATGCTTTCTGGACTTCAGCAGATTTTATCATGTTAGATTGAGTGATCATGTCAGCCTCATTATTTTTGAACATTATTTCTGTATATAGGGGTTGAGACTGTCTCTCCACCAGCTTGGTATCATCTTTGATTAAATTAACTAGAGTTTTCATTAATTTTTGCCGACTCATTAATTACCCATAAAGAATTCCTTTTATAAAATTTTCTGTTTTTTAAGAGCTTGAAAATCATCTCCTACCAATGTATCAATTTGCAAAATCAGTTATTTCTTTTTCCTTCTTAAAAACAAGAGTGACATTTTCTTTTCTCATATCCTGTAGAACTTTCCATTCTGTCTCTCACAAAGAGCACTGAAAACATCATGGAGGTATTTTCACGTATTCCTCATAACCTTAAGTAAATAAATAAATACATATACACACACACATACATATTTATATAAGGTATCATTTATCTATATTATGTAAGATAATGTGAAACTTGCACTCCATAAATTTTCAATCTACTTGGATTTTATTATCTTTATAAAATTTTCTTGGTTTCATATCCCAGTCAATTCTTGGATATTTTTGAAGAAAATTTTAAATTCAATTATTTATTTTCCCTTTCAGATTGCAGATTTTGGTTTATCAAAATGGCGTATGATGTCCCTCTCACAATCACGAAATAGTAAATCTGCACCAGAAGGAGGGACAATTATCTACATGCCACCTGAAAACTATGAACCTGGACAAAAATCAAGGGCCAGTGTCAAACATGATATATATAGGTAAAGTGTATTCCTTTTGCTTAGAGATAATATTATCTAAAAAATAAGATTAATCAGTCAGAATTTTGTTACTACATTTTAAAACAGTTTTAGTTCTTCTCTCATAAGTGTGGTAAAAATAAATTAGACACCACAGTGGTTAATATTTTTTTCAAATTAGAAATGCCTTAGGGCCCTCTCTGGTGGCACAGTGGGGTAAAGCACAGTTCTGAGAAGCTAAAGCCACTTCATTATGAGTTCAATCCCCGCCTGGAAGGTGACCACATGGTGCAGCAGACCTCTCCTGACCCACCCACTGCTCTCATCAGCAGTGTACTTCATCAGTCAACCTGTTCTGCCCCCCACTCTATCTCTGATGAAGCCTCTCACTGCCCTTGTACTCCTGTACCCCTGTACCCCAGTTCTGTATGCATAAATAAGAAAATCTTCAAAAAAAGAAAAGAAATGCCTTACTTAAAACTGCTGTTATAAATCCTTTAAAAAAGGACTCTCCCTAGTGGCACAATGGGTTAAAGCACCTCATTATGAGTGCTTTGCAGCACTAGTTCAATCCCCCGTCAGGGAGCTGACTCACATGGCATGGTAGACCTCTTCTGACCTGCCTGCTGCTACCCTCAGCAGTATATTTTGTCTATCTGCCTATTCTCCTCCCCACTCTGTCTCTGGTGAATCCTCTCACGTCCGGCCTGTATCCCAGGTCTGTAAGCATAAATAAATAAATCTTAAAAAAAAAATCCTTGGACCCTCCCTGGTGGCGCAGCGGGTTAAAGCGCTGCACTTAGAAGCCTAAGCCACTTTCGCATGAGTTCGATTCCCACCTGCCCCGGAGGAGATCCACATGGTGTGGCAGACCTCTCCTGACCCGCCCGCTGCTCCCCTCAGCAGTGTACTTCGTAGATCGGCCTGTTCTGCTCCCCACTCTGTCCCTGGTGAATCCTCTCACCCTCCACATCTCTGGCCTGTACCCCAGTTCTGTATGAATAAATAAATAAATCTTAAAAAAATAAAAAATCCTTAAATGTAAGACATATAATACTCAGGATTTTTATCATCTATAACTATGGTGGAGGGAGAGAAACTGTTTGTGGCTAATACTTACCACTAGCAAAGAAGATAATTCTCAAATGAGGATAAAATGGTCACTAAGACTACATATGCCAGGTTTTTAAATTGGTCTTTATTTGGTGTGAATAATAAAACCATGTAATTAGGGGACATAGCTTATATAGCTGTTTAGGAATGATTATCACAAGTTATCTTTGCCTGTAACTTTAAGTTTTTATTATAATAATTACCTTTTTTTCAGGTTAAGATAACTTCCTTTCAAAGCAAACTATATACATTTATCTACTCAGGTGTACTTCTTTTTTGGACATCTTAGGGCCTTACCACTTTAAGAAGTTACTTTAGTTAAGCTTTTAAATTTCATACTACTTTAATTTATTACGCATTTTTAGTTTATAATGTACTATATGTATATATTTTTATATTAAACAGCTATGCAGTTATCACATGGGAAGTTTTATCCAGAAAACAGCCCTTTGAAGGTAAGTATACTTTGACTTTCTTATCTAGGTAACATTACTTGGTAGGCGACACTCAGAATTATCTATGGTTCATTTTATTTTAAATCTGCTTACCATTCATTTTATGGAAAATATGCTATAAAAGCATAATAATTTACACTCATAAATGCACTGTATAGTAGAAGGTATGCTTAATTAAGGATCAGAAAAATGTACATTCTAATTCTTGTACTGACAAGATTTAGCTCTATGATAAATTCACTAAAGCTCTTCTATTCTCATTTTTTATCTGCAAAATGAAAATTTTTAATTCCTGAACCTAAGATTTCTTTTAGCTATGAAATTATTTATATAAACATTTATTTAGTGGTCCTTCTGTAAAGACCAGTAAACACTGATAAATAATTTAAACTTTATTTTTGAGTTTTGTATAGGTCAGTGTGCTGTCAACAATCTTAAAATCTCAGCTTAAAAATAAACATTAATTTATCATTGACATGAGGGGATTAACTGCAGTAGCGCTTTTTCATTGAGTTTCTGTTTAGCCCTGAGGTCTGTTTTATTCTTTTCTATTTGTGTTTCATGGCCAACTTAAATTATATGATCCAGTACAAAATTAATGAGAATACAAATTTCTCCCACAGGAAGGAGGTAGAAAAGTCTGGTAATGACTGGGATCTTTGTATTCCTTTGACAGAAAATGGTATAATGAATTACTCCCAAATTTTAAGATTTTCACTTTGAATAGTATATTTCTAGTGAATGACATATGTTTGTTTTGGCAGAAGTCACCAATCCTTTGCAGATTATGTATAGTGTGTCACAAGGACATCGGCCTGACACTAATGAAGAAAGCCTGCCATTTGATATACCTCATCGAGCACTTATGATCTCTTTAATACAAAGTGGATGGGCACAAAATCCAGATGAGAGACCATCTTTCTTGAGTGAGTGTATAGTTTTAACCTGAACCTTTTAAGTTGTGAAAGTAACAGATATACTTAATTAAAATTAAAGAATTTTTGAATAAGTATGGAAGATAGATGATATACTTTTTAAAAATTCTCTTTATTCTTGTTATTCATAGCATTTATAAAGGGGTAACTGTTTCTAGAACAGAATTGAGAATTCATAACAGAAAAATCATTTGATAGAAGTTATCATTCCACTCATGTATTTAAAGAATATTTATTGACCCACTTACCATTTGGCACATACTGAGATGAGATAAGATAAATTGTTAAAGTGTAAGCCCAATAATATAGTAGCTAGGGAAGTGTAAAAAGCCTTTTACATAGAAGTAAAAATTTGAAATGAAATTGGAAGTTTGGGAAGCAGCCAGCCATTCAAAAGCTAAAGGAAGAGTATTTCAAGCAGAGAAAAACAGCAAGGGCAAAGACCCTGAGACTAGAAGAGAAAACTTTAGTATTTGTAAGGAACAAAAAAGAAAGGTACACATAGCTAGAATATAATGAGCAAGGAAGGGAATAATATGAGAAGGGATTAGAGGGGAGAGAAGAGGCTATAGCTATCATTAAAATGGTACATATTCCAAGTACAATAGATGACCATTAAAGTGTATTGTAGGAAGGTGGCATGATCTACTTTAAGTTTAGAAGAAACTGATGCTGTTGCATGGTAAATAATTGGAGAAGGGGAAGAATGGAAGCAAAGAGCAGCTAGGAGGTTCTTGCAGGATTTTCCTTATTAAGGTGGTAATCCTGAAGGAAAAATTTGATAAAATTAAGAATTATTTCAGAAGTAGAATGGATCTTCACCTAAATATAAATGTAAATGTAGAAGAGAATCTTCAACACCTTGGGCAAGGTAAAGAATTCTTAGATGTGACATCAATAGCAAGCTCCATTTTGAAAAAAACCGGTAATTGGACTTAGATAAAACTTAAATTTTTGCATTATAAGAGTCCATTAAAAAAGACTGAAAAGATACAAACTGGGAATCTTCATTCCAACTAAAAAAAGCAATGACAAAATATTTTCCATTAAAAACTGTCCAGTGCTCACCATTTTTTATGCTTAATAAAAGTAAAGTTGATAAAAATAATATATTCACATTTTATCTTCTATTTCCTAGAGCCATGAGGAAGGGAATATACCCCCATCTGTCCCCATTGCCACTTCCAATAGTAATTTCTTCACCATTCCCTAAAAGTTCTAGTTCTTCTGAAGGAATATGCCATTGGGCAATACTTCTCTGTGAAGTTCCTGTTTTTTTTTTCTTTCTTGTTCATTTAAGACCTTGGCTTTTGACTTACTTTTGCACACTACATTATTCATATTGCTTAATACTTGTGGGAAACATTCTTCAGATCTCTGAAGTTCTCTCTCTTTGCACGTCCCCTTCTCTCTGATACTCTCCTGTGAACCTATATGCTTTGGTTTACCAAGACTCTCAGCCTCATCTCTTCAACTCTGAATGTCCACCAAGCTTTACTTCACTCCCTTCTCCTTGTGCTGTAATTAGAAATTTTCTCAAGGCAGTAATCCAGGGAATCTTAAAGTTCATCTCATTTGTTTCCCATATCTTAAGAGATCACTGTTCTTTGTTGCCTGATACCCACTGTCTTAAAAACATTCACTGTTTCATATGTTTTGTCAGGCTTTTTAGTTGCTTAAATCAGGAAAGTAAATAATTTACTATTATTCCATTTTGACTTGAAGTAGAAGTCACTGATTTCTGCAAATTAATGGCCAAAACTGGGACTGAACACTACTTAGCAATTCTGTTATGCTTCTCATATACATCTGCTATTCCATTACCATAGATCAGCTATCCTTAAAGTATAATAGTGCAGAAACCCTGGGAAACAGGTGGGAGTACAAGGGTTGGTCCTTGATATAAAGGGTTCACAAAATCACTGCTGTTTTCAAAATAATAAATGCTAGGTAGTATTTCCCCATTTTTACTCTTCTCTCATAAGTGTGTAATTGATTTTTCCAGAGGTGTGATATCATTATTTCAACAGATAACACAGTGTGTTCTCATATATTCTTCTGTTTTAATTTCTAATTTAGTAACTACCAATAGATATAACTCACATACACAAAGCTTCTTTGAGGTAATCAACAATCTTGAAGAATCCCAAGATCCAAAATTTGAGAATTACTGTCGTAGATTATCATCTTGTCCTGCTGGAAATGACACACAAGTTTGATTCTTCATGTTTCCAAAATGAGGTTGAAATTCCCACTTCAGTCCCCAAGAAGGAAAATAGATAATAGGTAGAGCATTTCAGCTTTTGTCTTTTCTTCAGTTACTCCTTTTCAGACTTCTTACCTCATTTATTAATTTTGGAGAAAACATGTGTATGTGAGTTCTTCTTAGTTTTCTCCTTCTTTTAGAAGTCAGCATGTTTAAGGACGCACATTTTTCTGCTCCCTCATGTGTAAGCACGGTGAGACCTGTGACTGAGTGAGTAAAGCTGTCGACTGCAGGGGTAAAGTATTATGAAGCCTATGGGCTACAGAGCTAAAGGTATTTTCTCCGAATAACATTATCACTCTTTAAGGTGATATTTGATCACCTTCTTTCTTTGGTCTATGACTTTTCTTAGAGATTTTGAACTTGGGAAGAAAAGATGAGTGATACACATACCTTAGTATCTCTTCTTAAACCTTCACTTTGTACACCATTTTTCCTTTGAACTGATGATCTGTTCACACTACATTGAGAAAATAGAAACCATGAGAGAGAATTCTTTCATAATTCCATTAGCAGATCTATAAACTTAGTTGTACAGTTTATCCATCTTTCATGGAGAAAAGTATCTATAAACCTACACAAATATAAGTAGAACTAGTTGTGTTCTCAATACCACTTTTCCTTTCCAGAATCCTATTCCTGATATACTTTCTCATCATGTACTCTGCCTGTATCTCCATGTCTACTAGATCACCTGACAGCTGCTATGACTCTGAATATGCTAGTCTTAGTGTGAACATGCTTAAATAACTACTTGTGAGTGGAATTGTTGGGTTGTATGTTAATCTTTCCTTTTTAAGAAACTGTCAAATTGTTTTCTAAAGTGGATTATTGATGTGGATTTTTCTACAACACTCTTGATACTTGTAGTTCTCCTTTTATTTTTCTACTAACACTCTTGATACTTGTGGTTCTCCTTTTATTTATAGCAATATGATTGAATATGAAGTATTATTTCATATTTAATTTGCATTTTGAAATGTCTACTGACATTAAATATATTTTTATGTTTTTAAGATACTTATGTATCTCCCTTGGTGAAATTCAGTCTTTTCCCATTTTTTAATTAAGTTGCCTTTTTAATTTGTAGACAGAGATCTGTATATGTTTCAGATTTAAGTCTTTTAGTAACTGCATGATGTGCAGAAACAATTCTCTCAGGCTGTCTTTCTATTTTTCTTAGTAGCATATTTTGAAGTACAACAGCTTCCAATATTTTTGAAGTCCAATTATCAGTTTTATTATTGGTCCTGTTTTTATGTCATATCTAAGAATTCTTTGTCTACCCAAGGACATGAAGATTTTCTCCTATATTTACATTTAGGTGCATGACCCACTTCAAGTTAGTTCTATGTATGGAATGAGGTAAGAGTCTAAATTTATTTTTCCATGTGGCTTTCCAACTGTCCTAGTACCATGTGTTCAAAACACTACCTGTTCACCCATTGAATTTCTCTCTCTTTTTTTTAAAAAAATATATTTATTTGTGCATACAAGAACTGGGCCATAGGCCAGAAGTGCAGGGATGGAGTATGGGAAGGGGGTTTAGAGGATTCACCAGAGACAGAGTAGGAAGCAAAACAGGTAGACCTACTGAAATACACTGCTGATGGGAGAAACAGGTAGACAGGAGAAGTCTGCTGCACCATGTGGGTTAGCTCCTTTGCCAAGGAGCAATCTCATGCTGCGGTGGCTGGCAATAGCTTGGTAGCTTGGGACTTTAACCCCTGAGCCACCAGGGAGACCCCTCAAATACTGGATTTCTTAGAACTTTGTCAAAAATTTGCATTAATTGTAAGGGCTTATTTTTAGAAACCTAGTTTGATTCTATTGATCTCTATGTCTGTTCATTCATAGCTATAGTAAAGGCTCTCAAGACAGTTAAATGTAATCATCTTAGATATTGACTCAGAACCCTATCACTTAATTGTTATGTTTTTTAATTTAATAATTACAAACTATTCGGTCTTTTTTTTTTCTTATTTAGAATGTTTAATAGAACTTGAGCCAGTTCTGAGAACATTTGAAGAGATAACTTTTCATGAAGCTGTCATTCAACTAAAGAAAACAAAGGTAAATTGTTGAATGAAATTCAAGAAATTAGAACCTTAAATCATATACATTACTTATTGGGCTTCTTGTTTAATGTAGTTTATTTTTTATCCATATACTTTACACAGATACAGGCTACAGTATTGGGAAGGAGAGTTTACCAAAGACTGTGCATACTAGCTTTCCTTTGTCACAAAAGAGCTTTTCCCATTTCATTTATATTATAATCTCTAGATTTTCAAAGATCCATATATCAAATATAAATTTAAAAGATGTAATGAGTGCCAGTTGTATACAGTAAATACTCTAAATCTCTATAATTTTTTAATTCCACAAATCTGTGAGGCTTTAATATATAGAAAGTAATAATGGATGTTTTTGTTCTTGTACTACCTTTTATTCAGTGTGTTTGGGTTTTTCTGGGATTTATTATCATGCTAAACTATAGAATTTTTATTAATAATTGAGGCCATAATAAGTGTTTTTATTATGTTACATAGACTAAAGTAGCTGGTGATATGAACTGCCCTAGAACAGTTGTCTTATTTACTCATTCTGCCACTTACAGATCAGAAAACCAATTGAAGGGAAGTTTAATGCTTGGTTTTCTTAATTTATCAAAATTTGTCTAAAAAGTAACTGCAGTCCTTTGAAGACAAAGAAATCCTAGTTCAATACTTGCTGAGTTTAGTTAAATTGCATTTGAGTTAGGATAAAAGTAATTGGCTGCTAGCAAACTTTTGGGTTATAAACGAGTAATCAACTATTTATCACTCAGTGGCATTGCTTGCCTCTCTTTTTTTTTTTAAAAAGGACAAGTGTCCCCCCAAATCCAGGTGTCACCATCAAGTTCCCAGAGAAAATCTCTGCAATACATCTTATTTGGTTTAAGGTGTCTGGATAAAAAAATGCCCTTCCCATGATAAATTCTCATCAACCAGCCTCTTCAACCTCTCAATGAAATTTTGGTTTTTCTTTCCTAGCTTAAAAGCAGATACTGGGCTAAAACTGGTTTTGGAGTAGGCTGTTGCAGAGCTGGTCTAAGACCTTGGGGAATATTTGGCATCGAGAGATTTTTTTTAATCAATTTCTTTGCTGATATCCTGAAACATTATCATGGCCTTTTGCAAGCAATCTGATTAGAGTATTCTCAGTTATCTGCCCACACTGGCCTGAAAATCTTCTTCAATTCTAATGAAAGGAGAGTGTTTAAATATCTCCACTGGGAAGGAAAGCACATTTTCCCAGAAAATTTTATCCCAACTGCTGTCCCTGATGTTATATTTCATAACCAACAGATTAGTTTCTAAATTAGTGACAATATGCCTGGTAAGGTATGGCAGGTATTTCGTGCTGAATGTATTCCATTTGTACCATGTTATCATGTATATAATTTAGATTGGATTCTAATTCTCAAAGACTATCCTAAATTGCTAATTTGCTTAAAGCATAGGACTGACAGAAATTCCTTTTCTTTCCCTCCATTTTGGGTGTCCTCAATTGTAAAGTTATCAATAGATTGTTAGGACTGGTTTGGTTCTATCTGACCCCTTTTTGTTTGTTTGTTATTCTATATTCCAAATACAAGTGGCGTTGCCTTTCTCCTTTTCACTTTTTTTACTTAGCCTAATCTCTTCCAGTTTCATTCACCTTGTCACATATGATAAACATTTATCTTTTTGATAGCTGAGTAGTATTCCATTGTGTACATATATATTTTCCTAATCTTCTCATCCAACTTAGGTTGTGTCCATACCTTGGCTCTTATAAACAGTACTACAGTGAAGATAGGAATGCACTTATCATCTGAATTAGTGTTTTTGCAACCTTTTGATATATACCTAGGAGTAAAATTGCTGAATCATCTAGTAGATCCATCTTTAATATTTTGAGTAATCTCCAAATTGTTTTCCTATGAGCTAGATGAATCTATATTCCTACCAGTAGTATATGAGGGTTGTTTTTTCTCCACATCCTTGAGAACAGTTATTTTGATATGAGCCATTTTCATAGGCATGTGGTGTGATGCATAAATCTCAAGACAGTCTATCTGGGGTAAGGGTGAAAATGGCTTTGAAAATCAAGTGCCTATTACAGTTGCCAAAAAGTACCTGTGCTTTTTTTACCTTCTAGTCAATTCTAATAGCTCCTCTAGGACTTTGCAGATAAGTCACACTGATTCGTAGTCAATGTGTTGTAAGGCATTTCCCCCAGTCCTCTGCCATTAGCAGCTATAAAGTCAAGCAGGATATTGGACATTTTCTGTATTTTAGAAAAACCCTTTAAATTCAGTACAGGATATAATGTATTGTAATCATCATTGGAAATAGTGTAAATAATAATACCATACATTTGAATAGCACTTTAGACTTTAAAATGGCTTCTACATATACTCCACAATACACAATGGACAAGTCCATATGATATACTGGACACTCCCTCCCCAGTAATGACAAATGAATTATTGGGCAGCAAATGGAGGGACAGCTAGCTCCACCTGGTGCCACTGGACAAAATGTTTGAGTGCCACTGACCCATCAGGGTGGGAATCCTAAAAAACCCAAACCTGGGCAGGAAAACCCAATCTCTTTCCTACTGAGGCTTTTCTTTCATCCTACTGGAAATGTTCATTCTATTAGCCCAAGTTTCCTTTCCATATATTTTTTTTTTTAACTTCAACTTTGTTTCCAAAAGGACAGATGTTTATATTCATCCTTTCATGTCTTTGACTATCAGTAAATAACAAATGGCAAAAGAATAACCAGCTCAGGTTAACACCCTGGCAGAATAAAGAACAATTATGTGTTTGCAACTGCCAAATAACTCTGGTTCTCAAAACAAACAAAAAACCCCACAAGAACAAACCACATTCAACTTATAACCACCATTTAGAAGTTACAGAAAAGCAGATCGTCTTTTCCTAGCCCAAAGGAGAGGCAGAAGTTTCTATATATGACAGCCAAATGTTTGATGTCAGGTGATAAAGTTGGAGTGCTTTACACTCAGATATTCATTTATTTATTTACATGTTTAGAAAGTAAATTTTTACTGAACATATAACTGTGCAAAATCTCAAGAATCTCATGATATATTTTTTAGATATAATTAGCATATAACTAACTTATAGTACAACTTAATGATTCAATATTTGTATAGATAGTGAAATGATCACTGCATTGAATCTAATTAACACCTGGCACCATATTCATAGTTATATTTTGTTTTTGTTTTTGTTTTTTTACTTAATGGATTATTGGTTTATTAAAAATGGATTAAGGGGCCCTCCCTGGTGGCGCAGCGGGTTAAAGCACAGCACTGAGAAGCTAAAGCCACTTCTGCATGAGTTCGATTCCCGCCTGCCCCAGAGGAGACCACATGGCGTGGCAGACCTCTCCTGACCCGCCCGCTGCTCCTCTCAGCAGTGTACTTCGTTGATCTGCCTGTTCTGCTCCCCACTCTGTCTCTGGTGAAGCCTCTCGCCACCCCTGCACCTCTGGCCTGTACCCCAGTTCTGTATGCATAAATAAATAAATCTTTAAAAAAAATGGATTAAGATAAAGGCCGCTGGTTAACATCCAGTTGGAAGCCATGCACATAGGGTAAGGTATGAAGAAATGGTATGGAGCATCCATGCTCTCTCCAAGTGTACCACTTTCTCCAAATCCCTATCCTTTTTGTTTTTGTAGAGCCTTCACTACATAATCATGATTGATTAGATTATTAACCATTGATTCAAAGATTCAAACTGCAGCCCACTCCCACCCTAGAAGTTGCGAGTGGAGAGGCTACTGAAAGTTACAATTTTTCTAATCACATGATTGACTTCCTTGACAACCACCTATGTCTTTGTTCAAAAGTTAATCACTCATCTAACAAAAGACATCTTTGCAGCTCTCATTACTTAAGAAATTTCTGTGGTTATAGAAGCTCTGTGTCAGATTTGAATACATTTTTTTTCCTTGAAGGTGCATATATCTTTTCAAATTAATGTTTTTGGTTTCACCAATGAATGCCCACAGTAGGACTTCTTGAGTATTTCTGGGTCATGTGGTAGCTCTATTTTTTAATTTTTGTAAAACCACCACACTGTTTTTGTTAGTGGTTATACCAGTATACATTTTTACCAGTGGTAGACAGGGTTCCCTTTTTCTACTACCTCATTTGTTGTCTTTCTGATTATAGCCATTCTGACAGTTATGAGGTGATACCTCATAGTGTTTTTCACTTGTGTTTCCCAGATTATTAGTGGTGTTGTATTTGCTTTTTTCATGTATTTGCTCATCATCTATATATGTGTCTTCTTTGGGAGAAAAAAAAGCCTCTTACATTTTTTGTCCATTTTTTTTTCTTTTGTCCATTTTTTAACCAATTTTTGTTGTTTTGTTTAGTTGTATGAGCTCTTCAAAACATTTTGGACATTAATCCTTTATCAAATATACATATCTGATATACAGAGATTTTCTGTACATTTGAAAAAAAAATTGGTTGGCTGTCTTTTTATTTTGTTGATGGTTTTCCCTGCTGTGCAGAAACTTTTTAGCTTCCTGTAGTTGACTTCTGTTGCCTCAGCTTTTGGAGTCATCCAAAAATTCATCACCAAGACAAAATGTTAAGGTGCTTTCCACTTAACATTTTCTTCTAGGAATTACATGCTTTTAGATCTTAGATTCAAGTCTTTATTCTATTTTGAGTTAACTTTTGTGCCTAGTGTAAGGTAGTAAAGTTTCACACTTTTGCATGTGACTGACAAGTTTTTCCAACACCTTTTATTGAAGAGACTGTTTTTTCCTTATTATATTTTCTTGGCTCTTTTGATGTTAATTAGCCAGATGTGTACATGGGGTCATTTCTAGATTTTCTATTCTGTTCCATTGAATTGATTTTTGGGTCTTTCTTATGCCAGTACAGTACTGACATTGCTATTGTGGTTTGCCTGGTCTGTTGACAAAAACCTTTGATTTAAAAGGAAAGTTGCATAAAGGAAACCACTACCCTTAGTCAAACTAAAATTTGACAGTGGTGATAGATTAGTACATGATTTTTTAGGAACTATGTTTTGATTTTTTGATAGCTTTTCACTGACTTTCCCCCTTCTGAGCATTTACAGTCTTTTCCAGAGCATCCAATTTCTACACTTTTTAATATAAAAATGTTTCTTTTTGCTTTATCTTTTTTTCCTCACAACTCTCTCTACTTCTGCCAAGCAAAGGGGGATAGGAAGTTCTGTTTTCTTGGTTATGAAGTAGAAGAGAAATATTATAGTTTCTTTTTTGTTCCCAAACAACTTAGATACTAGAATATATGTTTCAAATGTTAATTTTTAGAAGAAAATTTGGCTTATTAAATAAAGCAATTTAAAATGTGTATTTCAAAAACTTATAAAACATTCATTAATAACATTACTTTTTTGGTGTTTTTAAGTTGCTGTGTTGTGTCACTTTGAGATATTGTGAGTTGTTTTCCTTTTCTTTTTTTAATCCTTATATCAATTCTGTGTAACTGGCAGGGCAGAAATATCACCAGCATTTTATAGATAAGATAACTGAGGTATATAATAAGTTTAATTACATAACACCCTACAAAGCTATTACACAGCAGGACTAAAAACAGAATACAGATTTAATAAGATTTTTCTTTAAAAAAAATAAATAAACATAGATCATTATTTAGGTTGACTTGTTTTATTTGAGTTTCCTACATTTTTCTCAGTTCTTTGAATCAGGTTCTATAACTTATGTTTTTATAGATAACTATCCCTGTATCTTGAAATAGTAGAAACTGAAACAAAATTTTTCCCCATAACATCCCATTTCATTCCTTGAAATCCATTCACTGGTTAATAAACAGTTTGAATTGGAATAAATGATCAGTTACAAGAAATGATGCTATTAATTCAAGGATATTACATATGAGAAGTATTTTGATAAGTATAAAAAACACAGAAAAATGGCATATAACAGAAACAGATCCAAAGACTTATTTCATAACTTCACATAAAAGTGTATTTAACAAATATGCATTGTATAGGTATATTATATGTTGTGTGTGTATATTGTTATGTGTACATTATATGTTATATGTATATTATATGTTATATGTACATTATATGTTGTATGTATTATTGAGATGACTAGTTCTTCTTACTAGAATTCCCTTTCCTTATAATGTGGTAGACACTCATAAGTATAAAGTAGGGAGAGGTAGGTGAGAAACCCAATAATAAAGCAGTTAGCATTGATTTATGGGATAAAAGCAGACTGTTTTCAAATTTCTCAGTAATGATTGCACCTAATCCAACCCTGGTTTGTAGAGTTAGGAATAAATTAATGATTTTAGTACAAAAGTTTAACATTTAAATAAATCAGCAAATATCTACCATTTATTGAATTCTTACTAATAGTCTCAGGGCATTTTTGCATGTACTAATTTTTTTTTTTTAAGATTTATTTATTTCTGCATACAGAACTGGGGTACAGGCCAGAGGTGCAGGGGTGGTGAGAGGACTCACCAGCGACAGAATGGGGAGCAGAACAGTCAGATTGTTAAAGTACACTGCTGTGGGGAGCAGTGTGCCAGTCAGGAGAGGTCTACGGAGCCATTTGGGTCACCTCTGGGGTGGGGATTAAACTCATGTGGAAGTGGCTTTAGCTTCTTAGTGCTGTGCTTTAACCTGCTGCACCACCAGGGAGGGCCGCATATATTACTTTTAATCACCCTTACAATAACGCTGAAGAATATAAGTATTCTTACCTCTAGTTTATAGGTCATAAACTGAGATTAAGTCTCATATACAAGATCAAACAGGTATTTGGGATTCTAAATCAGATCTGATTGACCTTATGTTTAGGATATACTGTCTCCTTTACATAATCCAGCCCTCATTTTATCTATAAGATTTAAATAATAATAGCATGTATAAATACAGTGTTTAAAGTACAGTAAATGATTAATTACAGATAAATGCATACTGAAATTTATTATGTATCTAGTTTGCACTAGAAACTTTATATTCATTATCTTAATCTCTACAACAGTTCTACACCTGGGTGCTATTTTTATATATGAAGCCTTAAAAGATCAATAATTTGCTCAATGTAGCCAATTAATATGAGGCCTCTTTAAAGTTTCTGTCTATTGTATTCTATACTGTATCTATCTTTATATTATTTATTATATCTTCAACTGATTTAGATTTTCTTTCCTAAAAGAAATTGATGTGTCTAAACATGTAAGATAGGTTAAGTGGATTATAGTTGTAATTTCCTAATGACCTCCAAATTAAAGTACATTTATGTATTCCTTCCCGTTACAGAGTGCTTCAAGTATTATTCACGTATGTGATAAGAAGAAAATGGAGTTATCTTTGAACATATCTGTAAATCATGGCCCACAGGAGGTAAAAAAAAATTATGTTGATAAACTCAAAATATAAAAAGGATAGAAAAAGTATTTGGTATAACTGCTTTTATGAATGGGATATTAAAGGATTTAAGTGCTTGTCAGATAGCCAGTGGCAATCTCCAACTTGAAATCCAGATTTCCTTATTGTCAGCTGAGTGTTTATCACATCAAATCTCAGTTCTTGGTTCTTGTTGGCATTTATTTCTGTCCCTGTTACTGTTTTATGTGATGAATGTTGTTACAGGGAATTATATAGGCAAATCATTGATTACATTTCTGCCACTATTTTTATGTCTTTTATCCAAATGTAAAATGGCTATAATACCTTCCTTGTCCTTATCTTACCATGGTTAATGAAATCATCCAAAAAGGCATGAAACCTAATTTCCCCATGCCAATACAGGATATCAGTTTTGGGGGGATGCTGCTAATTTTCACAAGCATTCAGATACTTGAGTTATCTTTTCTCTTACCCACCTAGAAAATACACTGCCATATTATGTGCTATCAAATGTAAGGGAAATAAATGACTATAAAATATGGCTATAAATCATGTGACATACAATCTTGTGGCTATTCAAAGGAAAGATTTCTTTTTAAAAAAAAAGATTTATTGGCCCTCCCTGGTGGCGCAGCAGGTTAAAGCACTGCACTAAGAAGCTAAAGCCACTTCAGCATGAGTTCGATCCCCGCCTGTCCTGGAGGTGATCCACATGGAGTGGCAGACCTCTCCTGACCTGCCCTTGCTCCCCTCAGCAGTGTACTTTGTTGACCTGCCTGTTCTGCTCCCCACTCTGTCTCTGGTGAATCCTCTCACCTTCCCTGCACCTCTGGCCTGTACCCCAGTTCTGTATACATAAATAAACTTTAAAAAAAAAAATTTAAAAAAAGATTTATTTATGCATACAGAACTGGGGTACAGGCCAGAGGTGCAGGAGTGGTGAGAGGATTCACCAGAAACAGAGTGGGGAGCAGAATAGGCCAAATGATGAAATACACTGCTGAGGCAAGCAGCAGGCAGGTCAGGAGAGGTCTGTCACACCATGTGGGTCACCTCTGGGGCGGGAATCGAGCTCATGCTGAAGTGGCTTTAGCTTCTTAGTGCTGTGCTTTAACCCACTGCACCACCAGGGAGGGCCCCAAAAGATTTCTTTTAGTAGCATTCATTCAGACTTCATATTAATAATTTCTTTTAAGAATATATGATAATGCTAATTTTACAGGCTCAGAAAAGTATAAAACTTTCCAAATAAACCTTAAAACACAGTGCATTGTTTTTGAAGCTATAAAGTTATTTATACCTCCAAAATGAAACTTACAGTACAGATTACAGATACTGTATAAAAAAAAAAAAAAGCCTGAAAGGGAACTAACCCACATGGCACAGCACACTTCTGTCTTACCTGCTGCTCCTCTCAGCAGTGTATTTCAGTCGATCTGTCTATTCTGCTGCCCACTCTGCTCTGGTGAATCCTCTCACCCCCTGCATCTCTGGCCTGCACCCGAGTTCCTATATGCATGAGTAAATAAAATAAATCTTTAAGAAAAAAAAGAAAAGGCCTGAGAGCCAGAAAGTTTAAATGCCTTGTCAGTGATTCATAATTTCATGACAGTGCTGGGAGAAGAACCAAATTCTCTATTAGTTTGTGGTTTTCCATCCCTCTGTGTTGAAAGAACTTGAGGCACTGAGACTAGGAATAGGTATTTGTTTTAAATCAGTAAATAACCAGAGTTGCAGGTTTCAGATGTCTTATCCACTGAAAAGTCTCTGAGATCTTGGAAAAAGTAATTATTTATAATAATCATTGTCCTATTTTGAGTTGATATAAAAATTGTTGCTTTCTATATATGTGTGTCTGACTTCAAAGGTAGTTTTGATTATTTATAATAAACCCAAAAGCAATAATTATTTAGAAAGTAAAGTAAAGTAACTTTTTTTTTAAAAAGATTTATTTATTTGTGCATACAGAAGCTTAGGGGTGGCGAGAGGCTTCACCAGAGACAGAGTGGGGAGCAGAACAGGCAGATCTACAAAGTACACTGCTGAGGGGTCAGGAGAGGTCTGCCACGCTATGTGATCACCTCTGGGGCAGGCGGGAGTTGAACTCATGGGGAAGTGGCCTCAGCTTCTTAGTGCTGTGCTTTAACCCACTGCGCCATCAGGGAGGGCCAGCTGTATGTAACTTTTAAAATAATTTTCCCATAAGCCTAATTTCCCTCTGTTTACTTTAGGAATCATGTGGAACTTCTGAGTGCTATAAAAGTAGTGGTTCTTCTATAACCTCAAGGTCCCTGTCAGCTCCTCAAGACAACTGCTTTTTATCTAGTACGTAAATATTTTAGACAATACTTGCAATTTTTCTGTTTTTTTTTTCTGAGATAATATTCTTGACAAGAAATGATGGTTTGTATAGAATAAATACATCTTTCACTTACATTCATAACTCATTTGTAAAAGTGACAGTGTAAAGGTCCGATACTACTAGTGGGATGTTCAAAAATATATTCAAGTATTAGATGTATTGTATCAGACACCATAGAGTGATACCAAAAATGTCTTCTAAGAAGGAAGAGAAATGTTTCTAAGTTACCAGCAATATGACACAGAAATTGATGGAAGAGAAGTGGATTTGGAGCTAAGGTAGAGCTGTGGCAGAGTACTATATTTTACAAAGTACTTAACAACAACTTAGTGAGGGAGTTATTCCTCATTTTACAGATTTTTAAGATCAAGACTTCTGGATTACATAGTTAGTAATGTCACACCCAAGACTGGAAGCCAAGCCTTTTGATAATTTTATATCACTCCACTGTATCATGTTATCATCATGAAGAAATTATTTGGCTGAAGGTTGGACCTATAGTTACAAAGGATGGGAAATCCAGGCAAAGGAACAACATAGAGGCACAGAAACCAGAGAACAGTGAGTAGTTGGGCTTAATAGGTCAAGAGGGTAAATAAAAGGAGATTAAAGGTCACTAGGATGAAGTTATATTATCATAAATTCTAACAGTAGGCTGTTATTTGGGCTTTTATATTTGAATAGAGAGCAACTTTTGCAAGTTTTTGAAAAAGGGTGATACCTGATAAAATTTTTGCCTTAGAAAGATTCATCCTAATTGGAATATATAGGGAATTTCAGGAAGAAAAGTAGACTTATGGTGGGAAGACCAATTAAACTATTAGTGTATTACTGTAGCTACTGTAGCAAAGATGAGAAATTACAAGAAGAGAGCAGTGGTGTCAGAGATGTTACATAGGAAATACTGATAGGACTACAACTTTTCTTTTGCAAGAGGGAAGAGAAAAAGATAAAGCTGAACAAGTTGTTAAAAAGGAGAAAGATCACTGGTGCTACTAACAGAAATAATAACTCAAACAGGTCTAGGAGTTACAATGAATAAGTTTGTAATATCTGTGTATATGAGATACTTATTAGCAGTCATATGATAGCCAGGAGACTGCTGAAAATGTAAGAGTAGACACAGTGAAAACAAAAAGTTTAATTACATGGATTTACAAAGAGAAGTGGCGATGAAGTCATAAAGTTGATTAGGATCACCAAAGAGTGTAGAAAAGTATGGGTCATCTATGGGCTTAGAAAATATTTAAAGTATAGTAGGAGCCAGGAAGATACAGAAGTAAAATTCTTTGATTTGTAATTTATAAAGACAAACAGAAATATGGTAAAAGCATTCAGTATATACCTTTGTTCTAAAAAATAGTATTTATTTGTTGGTTTGGCTTTATGATTTCACTTGAAAAGCAGTGACAAAAAAAGACATTGAATATTAGCCTCTGTATGTTCAAATATTAACATTTTAGCTAATAGGGATACCTAAGAATACTCTATACTTACTGAAGATGTTATGTTTTATAGGAAAAACACAAGCATATCCTGTGCCGCATCAATGTCCAGTAAATCACAGCTGGGAGAGTAATGCTTGTATAGCTCCGAGAATGACATTCTGTGATCATAAGTGCAGTCTACCCTCTTCAGCAATAAATTCACTCTCAGCTGAGGGAAATTCAGGTAAATATTACCTGTAATATACTTTTTGAATGTTGCCATTTACTTGATAAGAGTATGTTTAAAGCATGTGCCATATAGTGACATTTTTATCTGCCTTTATTCCATCAATATAATAAATGCATATCTTACGTAGAAAAACACTTCCAATCTCAGTAATATGAACACCGGCATGTAATAAAGACCCAAATGATGTCTATGAATATCCAGCTAAAAAAGAATTACTAAGGGGAGCTATTATTTTATAGGTAGTTTTTTATTTGTTTAATTAACAAATATGTAGATAACTTTTCTTTTAAAATATCTGAAAAATAAAATGTGATTTTTGCCTATGAGTTTTAACAGATAAAAAGGCAATCCTTTTTCTAAGATGGAAAGGGAGGAATATTTGAATGGCTCCTGAAAGTTAAAATCTACCCCAAATAATTGATATACCACATTGGCATAATCATATGAAAATCATAATTACATGAAAAGCAGACTCTCACTTTCTGCTTTTCTTATGCAAGTTTCCTCATAGCTATATATCTGTGCTCACCTTTTTAGTTGTCTTCCCTTATTTTACTACAGAGCGACTGCAGCCTGGTGTAGCCCAACAGTGGATCCAGAGTAAAAGGGAAGACATTGTGAACCAGATGACTGAAGCCTGCCTTAACCAATCACTAGATGCCCTGCTGTCCAGGGACTTGATCATGAAGGAGGACTATGAACTTGTTAGTACTAAACCTACAAGGACCTCAAAAGTCAGACAACTACTGGACATCACTGATATCCAAGGAGAAGAATTTGCCAAAATTATAGTACAAAAGTTGAAAGATAATAGGCAAATGGGTCTTCAACCTTACCCAGAAACACTTTTAGTGTCTCACTTACCATCTTTAAATTTGCTTCAGAACAAAAGCTTATAAGTGACTCTTTTTCAAGAAGAAAGGTCAGTTTTATAAAAGAGTATTTTATATTTCTGATATTTTGATCAAATTGTTTTTATAAAACCCATATGAGTATTAGAAACTTTTATGAAGTTTCTTCTTCAGGTAAATATTAGTCTCCTTTCATGACATTGCAGTATTTTTTAAATGAATGTAAGTAGAAAGTTTTCATTTTCTTAAATCAACACTTTGTCTCTGGTTAATGAAAACTAATTTTTAATGTAATTGTTTTTGTAAATAAGAATATCTTACAATATCATGTTTCACATTCACTCTTTATGGTTTATTTATTATTTGTCTAAGACATAATTTTGCCTTCTGAAATATGCTCTTTAGACCTAAAATGTAGTTCAGCCTTCCTACCACGCAAACCCAGGTTCTTTAAACTCTATTATTCAAGTACATTATTAAATTTTTATTTATTGAATTTTTCTTAGAAAAATTGTTTCACACCTGAACCTTATATGTTAATAATGTAATATTACTTCAATAAATAAATAAGTCATTTCAATGGTAAAATGAATACAAAGTATATAAGGAAAAAGTTAATTTTTCAACATGAGAATTTGACCTCCTGTCTAACCGCAGCCTTCCCCATCTCACTAATCTAAACTAGCAGCCTCATTCTCATATTTAAAATTCCTCTCTTTTGGAAACGGGTCTCAATATTTATCATTGTAACACACAGTGCAGCTTGCTGTTTTACACTCACAGTGCATCATGAGTAGCCTTTTAGATCATAGCTCTAGCTCATTCTTTCCCATTGCTGAACATTATCAGGACCATTGTGTTGTTTCCTTTATTTATTTATACCAATTTTACTCCAAACAATAAAAGATATAATGTGAGGTGTTTTAGCACAAAGTAAAAGCTTACAAAGAATAATAGACCTTTTCTTAAAAAGCGTTTTAACAAAGCAAAAATTATGATAAAGGATAAATTTGAAATTACAAACTTTCAAGAAGATCTAGACCTATAACATTAAAAAAGGTGAATTGGAGTAAAAAATGCCTTTGTGCATTTAGGTAATCAAGTGTTAATAAAATTATAAAGTATTTCAAAAACTCCACTTTGGAACTTGGTATTAACTTGTGATGCCTAAGTACTGTGTCTCTGAGAAATGAGAAGTTAATGATATTATAAGTTATATACCATTTCACAGTTGTTGTTTTTTTTTTTAAGATTTACTTATTTATTCATACAGAACTGGGGTATATGCCAGAGGTGCATGGGCGGTGAGAAGATTCACTAGAGACAGAGTGGGCAGCAGAACAGGTTGACTGACGAAGTACACTGCTGAGGGGAGCAGCAGGCAGGTCAGGAGAGGTCTGCTATGCCATGTGGATCACCTCCGGGACTGGGATCGAACTCATGCTGAAGTGGCTTCAGCTTCTTATTGCTGTGTTAACACCAGGGAAGGCCCCATTTTATAGTTTTTTTAAGGGTTAGGATAAATAAAATAACTGAAAAATCTGGTGTATAGAAACTGGACTGATTATTTCATAGTGGTTTTGTAATTTTTTCTTCAGATAGTATCAGTTTAAGGCATCATTTTCCTATTCTCAAGGAAAATATTTTTTCATGACTAAACAGCTTCCTAAGTAAACATAAAGCAGACAGTTACAGACTATAGAAAGTTAAAAATTAAATGAATAAGGTCTTGTGAGAGAATGTGTGTGTGAAGTTGAAAGAACTGATTCGCTTTCAGTGGTAGGAATGCCTCCCCTATCAGTTGACACTTACCAGTGGAATATTATGGAAACAGATGAGTCGACATCCTGAGGTAGTAAGGGAGGACTTTAAAGCAAAAAGAAGAGCTAGAAGACAATGGTGGAGAGATGATTGAGAGGTATAGTCCAGAACCAAAAAGTTCAATTAGGAATTTAATTTTATTTTAAACATGATGGAAATGTCCGAAAAATTTTAAGGGAAGTTTGCACCCACTGATGGCGTTGTGACAGATTTGGGTGAAAAGAGGCAAGAATGAGACTCCACTCACATATTTAACTAGAGTAGGGCAGAGATGAAACATGGATGTTAAAGTTAGAACAAAGACAATGTGGTGATGGTTTAGATATAAGGGAAGGGGAAAGGATTAGGATTACTCCTAGGTTTGAGACCTAAGAAGTTTAGAGAATAAAGTGCTTTGACCTTTTTGAACCCCCTGAAGATATCTCAGGGAACTCAAATTCATATTTGTTACAATTTAAGGAATGCTGACTTTATACAACAAAAGAGTTTGAAACAACATACTGCCAGAGAATATCATTAATGACCCTCGATGTTATTGGACAAGAACTAAATTCATGTTAACTGAACCAAAACCTCTTTTTTGGTCTTCTTACTCTCATATTATGCTAGCAGAGGTACCACTCCTCCTGCTAAGAATAATCTTTTGTTTCTGTATTTCTCCTACTTGTTTGCTTATTTTATTATTATTCTTTATTCATATAGAACTGGGGTACAGGCCAGAGCTGTGGAAGGTGATAGGAGTCACCAGAGACAGAGCGGGGAGCAGAACAGGCAGATCCACGAAGTACACTGCTGAGGGAAGCAGCGGGCGGGTCAGGAGAGGTCTGCCACGCCATGTGGTCACCTCCGGGGCAGGCGGGGATCGAACTCATGCGGAAGTGGCTTTAGCTTCTTAATGCTGTGTTTTAACCCGCTGCGCCACCAGGAAGGGCCACTTTATCCTTTTATTCTATTCCAACAGTGGACCTGCTCCAAGACTTTTTTCGTATTAAAATGTCTTCTCCCCTTCTATTTTTCTCTTGCCTTCCTCTTTTCATTATAGTTAAATTTCTCCCTCTGCTTTTTAAAGTTATAAAGTAAAAAATATATAGTATAAAGATAAAACACATAAATAAAAAATTTAAGTACAATCTACAATGTGGAAGTGATACATCATCCCTAACCACCAAAATAATCACAATTCAATCTGGTATAAGGTTTCTAGATTTTCTTTTCCATAAACTAATTACGCATACCATTCCAGTACTTTTTAATATTAATGCTATCAGTTCATGTAAATTCCCATCATTATTTTAAAACACTGTGGTATTCCATTATACAGTGTACCCATAAATATCCTATTTCATATTAAAGAAAATAACATTTCCAGTTTTTGCTCTGAGAAGTAATGTGAAAAGGTGGAAGTGCTTTTACACACTTTTTAATTATTTTAATACTTTTTAAGTATTATAGCACATTAGTAAAAACATAGCTCCTTGAATCAAAGACTAAAAATATTTATAGTATTGGTAAATATTGGCAATTTCCTCAAGAGCTCAAGAGTTTGTACCATTGTCACTCCCACAATAAAGTGACTGTCATCAGATTTTTTGAAAGAGCTGTTTAAGCAATTCTCACTTTTGTATAGCCCAGACACTCCCCTGTCCACTTAACCTGGCTTGTTTGAACCACTCCCCTGAAATTGTTGTTGCCAAAAATGACTTAACATCTCCTAGTTTTTAAGTCCAGACAAAATATTTTCTACCCTTCTCCCATTTGACATGACTGACTACTCCTTCCTTTTTGAATAGTTTTCTTTCTTGTGACCACATATATCTCCATTCTTTCTCCTACATTTTGTCCTTTCCTGTCTATATTTTTTTGGGGGCTCTTCTATGTCTTTTCTCTGATACACCTCCACTGGTCTTAATTGTCATCTGGACATAAATGACTCCCAAGTCTGCCCTCTTTCCTGCACTCCAGATTTACTTCATACTCGACCTGCCCATTGAATGTTACACAGGAAACTCCACATTCCAGAAGTGACCTTTTCACTCCTAACCACAGTACACACCCCAAACTTGCTTTCCTTCTTAAGTTTTATATCTCAGTGAACAATACCACCATTTACCCAAATGAACTTGAATTCTTCTCTCTTCTACTGTCCCTTTCCTCTGCTGTCCAATTCCCCACTGTTCATATCTAAACACAATTACTGCTGTTTTTATCCCCATAGATTTAGTTTCAGTCTGACAACTTTTCCCATCCCTATTGAGTTATACTTCAGATCAACAATATTTCTTTTATCAGACAACTGTCAGCTTAGACGGTCACCTAGTACTTAAAGAGCAAACCCATCCAAGTCACTCTCTGGTTTGAAACACTTCAGTGACTTCTCATTATGCTTAGGGAGAAAAAAACTCTACAATATTTGAGTCTGCTGATCTCTGATCTCATGTCACACCACCCTCCTGTGCCTCTGCGGTTCACTAGTATTCTTTTTCTTCCTTTCACAAACAGTATCTTTCTTGTCAGAAATCTTCTGGCATCTTCAAATCTCAGCTGGGATCTCATTTCCCCAGAGAGGGCTT